GGAACCAGTGACAATGAGAGAACCACTTCACTCTATCCAGGTCTAGGTCACTGACAATCTAGATGCCACAAATGCGTCTCACCGGGAAGCATCGAGTGTGTGTCCCTTAAGCATGGCATCACTACTAGGGAAAAGCCTAGCAGTAGCGCGGGTTTTAGATATAGCAGTAGCGCGGGGTCCCGCGCTACTGATACGGTGCTACAGCTAACCTGTAGCAGCAACGTGAAGGAAATATGCCCTGGAGGCAATAATAAAGTTGTTATTTATATTTACTTATATCATGATAAATGTTTATTATTCATGCTAGAATTGTATTAATCGGAAACTTAGTACATGTGTGAATACATAGACAAACAGAGTGTCACTAGTTTGCCTCTACTTGACTAGCTCGTTGAATCAATGATGGTTATGTTTCCTAACCATAGACATGAGTTGTCATTTGATTAACGGGATCACATCATTAGAGAATGATGTGATTGACTTGACCCATCCGTTAGCTTAGCACGATGATCGTTTAGTTTGTTGCTATTTCTTTCTCCATAACTATACATGTTCCTATGACTATAAGATCATGCATCTCCCGAATACCGGGGGAACACATTGTGTGCTACCAAACGTCACAACGTAACTGGGTGGTTATAAAGGTGCTCTATAAGTGTCTCCGATGGTATTTGTTGAGTTGGCATAGATCAAGATTAGGATTTGTCACTCCGATTGTCGGAGAGGTATCTCTGGGCCCTCTCGGTAATGTACATCACAATAAACCTTGCAACCAATGTAGCTAATGAGTTGGTTACGGGATGTAGCATTACAGAACGAGTAAAGAGACTTGCCGGTAACGAGATTGAACTAGGTATTGAGATACCGACGATCGAATCTCGGGCAAGTAACATACCGATGACAAAGGGAATAACGTATGTTGTTATGCGGTTTGACCGATAAAGATCTTCATAGAATATGTAGGAACCAATATGAGCATCCAGGTTCCACTATGGTTATTGACCGGAGATGAGTCTCGGTCATGTCTACATAGTTCTCAAACCCGTAGGGTCCGCACGCTTAACATTCGGTGATGATCGGTATTATGAGTTTATGTATTTTGATGTACCGAAGGTAGTTCGGAGTCCCAGATTTGATCACGGACATGAAGAGGAGTCTCGAAATGGTAAAGACGTAAAGATCGATATATTGAAAGCCTATGTTTGGACATCGGAATGGTTTTGGGTGAAAACGGGAGTATGCCGGAGCTCCGGGAGGTTACCGGAACCCCCCGGGAGGTATATGGGCCTTATTGGGCCTTAGTGGGAGAGAGGGGAAAGGAGCAAAGGAGCCCCCCCCAAGCCCAATCCGAATTGGGAGGGGGGCTGGCTGTGACGCCCGGGTAATTAAGCTACAGTAATCCCCGCTAATGATGCCACGTCACCTCGGTTACTGTGGATAAACTCGCGTTAGTTCGGAACCTAGTTCGAATTTCAAATTCAAAATCGAGCAAACAATAAAAGTTTTCAAATATTAAAATTTAAATGTTCGGAGTGAACCAAATAATACATAGGTAATTATGGTGATGAAACCACATTTTTATAAAAAGTTTAAATGCTCAAAGGAAAATAAAACTACAGCAAAAGAAAGTAATTAAATGCCTTTTGTATTTTGTAAAATATTGAACTATTTTATTTAGCTGTCCAAATTAATGTGGCAGTGGTATCTTTAACATACCATATTTACGTGTTGTTCTCACATTCTTCAAAATTGAAATAAATTAATAATTTAATAAAACCGAAAGGAATAAATAAAAGAAAAGGAAAAAAAGAAAACAAAAAGAAGAAGAATAAAAGAGAGAAAGAACCCCCCCCCCACTGGGCCACAGCCCAGCTGGCCTCTGGGCCAACCAGGCCGGCCCAACCGCGCCCTCTACTTCCCCCCTGGATGCCCGAAACCCTAGCCCCACTCGCTCACTTCCCCCCCTCCCGCACGACGCCCACTCCG